AGATTAATCAGACTGGTTGACTGACAGAAAAGATGATCAGAGAAACAGCTACCACCACCACCATAATCATCGACACCGGGAAAGAAGAATGGGTGGAGTTTCTCAGTAAAGGAGCAGCCAGTAAAGGAGTAGATAAGAGCTGCATCATCTACATCATGAAAGGAAACCAGACCCTAACTCTAAAAGAAAATTAAAGAAAGGTTGTTTTTTTTTATATAAAATTTCTCAGATTGATTATATATTTATAACAATTTCAAAAAACAATCAACTGAAGTTCCGCTTACTAGCTTTTTCTGTAGCTTCTAACTATGTCACGTGGTTTTGATCAACAGGTGCGGTTTGGTCAGTTCTATTGTTAGGACTTCTTCTCTGAGTTGGTTTAAATGCTGAAATTAACCTGTAATTGATTCAATTTCCCCTTGGAAAAGACAGACTGACTGATAGATCAGTTGTCACCATCACCCATCACAGGACAGATGATCAGGGGTGGACTGATTTTACCGTCATCATTAAATCCGGGACAGAACAATGGGTAGAGTTTCTCAGTGAAGGAACGGCCAGTAAAGGAGTAGATAAGCGTTGCATGCTCTACATCATGAAATGAGACCAGACCCTCTTCATAATCCACAAACACCCCCACCTTCTCAGGATAAGACTGAAAAGAAACACGGACTGGAGGGTCCTTAAGAGCTACACAAAGATTTTCATCTCCCTTAAAAACACACCAGTAACCTTTCTTGGGAGTCCAGTCAAATGTGAATTCTTCCTTCCTGTTGACTGACTCTCTGGCCACTCCTAACATCCATAAGGTTTTTGCTTTAACCTGAACCTCAAAGTAAAATCTGCCTGAAGAGAAACTCTGCTTTCCTAAAACAATGCCAAATTTAGAAAATCTCTCTGGGTTGTCTGGAAGATCATTCTCCTCTTGATCACAGTGTACTTGTTTTCCATCATCAGACAGGATGAGAAAAGGATGTGCTGTATCAGGATCAAGAGTCACATCCACTGCATACTGCTGGACCCTCTTCAG